CTAGATGCTTAAAGAAACTTGTAGGAATCTTGTCTGATTCCCATTAGCAAAATTATGTCAGAACTGAGATATTGTGGCCAATTGTTTGAAAAATAACTGGGTTCCACCAACAACAGGTTTTTAGAGACTATCCCCGTATGTGATTTAAGACATTCCATGTTGAGGGAATCTGCTAGCGATCAGCAGGCTCCAACTACTCTAGAAAAAGTAATTGTTGTGATGGCTGAAGTCACCTCACTCAATGGAGTATATTGTGTTGCTGTGCTCAGAGACACCAAAAATAACACAGACAAAAAAGTGGGTTTAAATTTTGGCTTTTTAGTGCTCCTAGCTGCTGCAGACTATACAATATTCAGTCGCATTCAACAAGTTCTAAAATGAGTTTGGTTRATTTATTGTCTTGCTCAGTATCTGACAAAGGTAGACTGAATTTGACTTGCTTATTAGGCAGACATTAATTGGGGATGAGCCAGATATTTGTTCATGGGCCTTCATACCCACTGCCAATTAATAACATGAGAATCTGGGCAAAGAGGTGAAAACAAAGCTCAGGAGGAAAACACATAATTAAGAGGGATTTGCGCCTGTTCAAACAGCTGGTCCTGTGTAATGCAGTTTGAAGCAACAGTTGCACATTCTCAGCTGTTTGCATAACCTTTATTTTGCTTTGGTAATTTTCCTATATTAATTACTGACATCCACTAACATTATTATGTAGATGTTTTCATATTCTTAATTTTAAACACAGGTAGTCCCTCATTGGCAATGAAGTTGTGTGCGTTAACGTTTTTAACATAAGATTTGATTTTTATTTATTTGTTTTCCTAGTCTATCCTGAGTAGCGTTTCTAAAATTAATGTCATTAATTGACTTTCCCGCTGTGTTGAATATTTGCACAGCSTTTTATTTTGATGAAATACAAGAAGGCAGCTACACTTCTCTTTCAAAGAAGGTACAAAGCTAGAGGGGCTACTTTGTTTTTTTGAAGTGGGGAGGCAGGTAATTTCATGCTCCTTTGCAATGACCTGAAGTTCAAGCATGGCCCTTTGTGACTTGCTGTGGGCCAAACACTTTCCTTATAATTCTGGTTAGTGACAGATTCTTCTTTTCAGTTCACAGCAGCTAATTTATACTAAAGCAAAAAAAAAAAAAAAAAAAAACCACCAACAACAAAAAAGTGGTTTCCAGGATGTGACACCTGCAGACTTATGTCCTTCAGGGTCACCTGAACAGATTGTTCAGTGACTCAAAGCTTAGGAATAAGAAAATTCGGCCCCAAATGTAACTTTTAACCTTACCTTTAATATTTTGACTATTTTTTGTCCTGTTACTAAAGCAAAGCAATAGTTTTAACCATAACTTTGGAAATTTCCTCATCTTGTCTACATTAAGATAAAAATTTTTACTTTTTAACACCACCTCCTTGGTTTTTGCTGTGTGATGAGACTATTCCCTCCCCATCCTTTTCCTCACCTTTGGAAGGAAGAGAGGATACAGAGGAAAACCTCTATCTAAATTCTTAAGGCCTTAAGACTCCTTTGCTGCACTGGAAGGTAGTCTGATTTTGTTCCATTTGGAGTCTTTTTGTATGCTCCAGAAGGAACAAAATCCGTTTCATATACTCTTCTTGTAAACTCAGGTGCTGTAGGAGAACTGCATTTTGATAGATCTCTGTGTGTGTGTGTGTGTGTGTGTGTGTGTGAAATGTGTAGGAATTGTAAAAGAAATCACAACAGCAACAAAATCACATTCCAACATACCACTTGAATGTATTTCTCCTTTCTTTTAGCAAGAAAGGGTCACTTTTTATGCTTTGGTTATAACTCTTATATGTGGAGAATCTTACGGAAAGAATTAGAGGCAGGGCAAGGCATTCTGTCAGTCAAATGAGCAAACACTGTGGAAGCTTTATAAAGCCTTTTTTTTGATTTACTTTGTAATTGATAATATTTATCTTTGTCTTTTTTTTAATATTTAATTTCAAATACGTTCTTAAAGTTTTATAGGAATAACAATACCTTGAAAAGTAGCTTTAAAATTTATTATTTTCTATTTTACTGGCATTTTTCTGGCTTCTATGGTTTACTCATTAGGATTTTTCCTAACATGTGGTGAAAGACACAGCCTGGATCTTGATTGTGCAGTGATATCTATGTGCTGTGTGACAGAAGGTGCAATTTTAGACATTGGGATCCATCTCATTGAAGTTAGTGGGACCCYTTACCACATTTAATGTGAAGCATGCACAATCTTTGCAGAATTATCATGTACTTGATGGTGCTTTCAACACAGGAATATATTTCAAAATATTCCCAGTGGAGTTGGCAAAGCAGCAGGCTCTGCTTTCATCAGCCCAAAGTTAGGTTGATAATTGAATCCCAGCTTTCCCTTTTTCCAAAAGAAAGTGATAAATAATATTGCTGTAGGAGTGAAATAATTCTTAAAGCTTGTTTGCAACTGATGCACATCAGGCTGTTTGTGAACTATGGGCCTGACTGAAAGATGCTGCAGAAACCTGAGTTGCATTGAGGAGGAGGGCAGAAAGGGGCAGGAAGAAGGTGAAGAGCTAATGAACAAAGGACAAAGCTAGTCCTTTTTTAAAGGTAAGCATGCTTGTCATCTGCACTGTAAGGCCAACATATTTCCATTTGTTGCTTTTCTGTTAACCCTCCATTTACCACATCTTTAATGTTGCATTTTAAGTTTCATTTAGTGAACATTTTAAGTTCACTCTTACCAATATACAGACTTGGTGATCTCTGTTAAAARGTAATGCTACCTGCTCGTCTTGTTTCACAGTAAATACAGTCCACTTAAAATGTGATATAAAAAGTGAATTTTAATAGATTTTAAAACTATATTAATAGCAAACAGCATGTGAAGTTCACTTTATTGCTTTTTGTGGGAATTGGCTGATTTGTAGAATGCCATTATAAAAACAAATGTTGCAGAACTAGATGCAGTGCTTAAGAATAGAAAGTTAATCCTTCTCATTATACTGTTGATGGTTCTGGTCATTTTAATACCTGTTTTGTTATGAGCAAGTTCTTAGCTGTCCAAAACACTACTTTATAACATTATATTAATCTCATGAAAAATGTAAACCTAAGTCTGTAGAGATGTGTTATCAAGCAGAATTATGGGAATTCAGTTCTTGTTGAAATCTGAATATGCGAATCTCCTGAATAAGATTTTCTGTCTGCTACTAATAGCTATATTTTTATGACAGCTCTTCTCATCTTTTAATATTAATATTTTCTGTGCGATTTCTTCCCTTTCTTGCTGTTAAAATTTAGAGACCTGAACATGCAATCTGTATTTTGAAGCAACATGCAGTTTGTGTAAATAAGCTAAAAGGTACTCAGTGGACCATCTAGAATGCTATCTTTTTAGTGTAAATATTTAAAGAGCTAGTTGCCTGAAAAGGAGTTCAGGGACAGATGAAAAAAAACGAGGGATTCTGTTGTTTAGTTAGCAAATAATTTGCTAGACTGCTAAGCATTTTTGGTTCTTAGTGATTAGGGTGTCTGCTGTCTCTTTTACTCTTTCCTGTTCTTCTTTCTACTCTYTTCATCCTTCTGATTTAAATATTAAGGCTAATCATATTTTTTATGAGCAAGTATAGATGAAATTTAGGGGTAGCACAAGTCATTTCCTTGATCTCTACTATGTGACATTTGTACTACAGAGAATGTCTAACTTTGTATATTAAGTATTTTAAATGGACAGATCTCAGAAACATTTCTTCACTATCTAGACTGTTTTAATATGTGGTGCTTTCAGAGGTACCCTAGAGACAGAAGCAAATGGTTTTCAACAGTGAATATTTTAAAGTTACAAATTATGTAGGCAACTCACTAAATGCATCAGCAATCTTTGTCTTCCAACCTTCTTTGAAAAATCTGCCCTTGATGTATCAGAGTCACTTTGAAATGATGGGAATATGATCTTTAATCTTTTAAAGTAGCTATAGAACTAAGGAAAGCTTTTTCCATGTTTGATGTCTTAGAACTAGTCTTGGGCTAAAACAAAAAAGTTAACGTTTAATGCTGTGTATCTTCAGCTGAATTATAAGAGGAAACTTTCCTGGAACTTTTCTAAGTCTGGGGGAAAAAATCAGCATTTCAATGTCTTAATGACAGAGGAAGGTGTTTTGTTGTTGGAAGAAATTATTTTTAAGCCATAAGAACTTTGACATGTAAGGTGGACCATGAAATGAGTTGCATTTGTGAAAGCCCTCCTGGTGTKTTAGGCAAAGTTTTAAACAAAAACTACTTCTCATTTAATAGCAAGTTGGCTCTCTAATAGCAACCTTCCTTCAATAGACAGACCTTTTACCTCACTCCTTTTACCGTGCCTGTTGCAGCCAGCAATTATATTTAATAGAATCCATCATCAGCTGAAACCACAGTAGAAAACTACAGATTTTGACAGAATCTTCATGTKTCAAACTGAGGTGGACAGTGTTGCRGAGACAGGGTTATCTGGTGACTGGTGTTTGGAATGGGGTTATTGTTTGTTTAATTATAGGTCCCTATAAAGAGAGATTCTGCAGGACTTGTCAGCAGAAAGTTCTTTGTGGAGTAAGTGAATTTGAACTAATTTAAAGTTGATTTCTAGGACTGACTCTCTGAGCCGAAAAGATTAAAGGCYTTAAATTTAGGTAAAACTGATGAGTTTTCGTGAGTAAAAACTAGGAAAATTATTAGTAAAAATAATTAGGAAAATGGTGGGTCTGTCCGTTCTTTAAAATACAAAAAGAAGTGTATGTAGGAAAGAAATTGGGGCGAATTTTCCTSTTTTAATTGCATGTAATTGAAAATGAGAGGTAATAAATTGGGTTTCCAGGTAAAATATTTAGGCTGTGTTTCTGAATTACTTTACAGTAGTGGTGTCTCTCATCCCAAAAGTTTGCTGATTTGTTTAAATGCTTTATTTTTAATTTCTCTTGTTTTTTTTTTTTTTTTTTTTTTTTTTTTTTTTTTTTTTTTTTTTTGCAGGTAGAGGTAGCAGATATTGAAAGTGAAGAGAAAAGGTATGAACTTTTCCTGGGACTTCTGGAATCCAGTCATAGTCTGTCCGAGTTTCAGCACTTGGTTTTACTCCTTCAAGCTTGGCCACCTATGGAGATGAGCAACAGGTAAAAATATTTTCAAACTGTCGTTTAACAAAATAATGTTAAGTTTTGTCACGTGAAAATTTGATCATGAAGCTTCCAGTCAATTAATTGACAATGTGCAAGAGGAGTATGGCCTTTTCGAAAGGGCTATCCTGGGCCCTTTACTAGGAAAAATAAATTATGTATTTAGATCTGAATTGAATCAGTTTTACTTTGGCAGTATATAAATAGGAATGAACCTGTAAATAGGAATGAGGAGTTCAGTCTGTGGCTGCATTTTCTATTCTGAGTTACATTTTACAGGAATATCTTGGCTATTCTTCGAAYGGTCATCACAGACTATTTGTAGAAAGTGTTCATAATGCTGCCAAGCCACAGTGCATCTCATTTCTGAATCCACTACCTATTCTTTTCATGTCTCAGTAAAATACAAAAAGCAAAGAAAACTAGAGCAAATATGCCCAGGAGATCCTAATCCAGCAATTGGAAATGAAAATAATTATTTTAAAAGGTAGTATTTTTTAAAAGGTAGTATTGCAGCCATTCTGAAGCTGTTTATCACAAGGTATTAATACGGCGTATTAAGGTATTAATACGTCACAAGGTATTAATACGTACGTAAGCCTTTGTCTTTTGTCTGCTACTTTCTGAACTTACTAACAGTGACATTTTTAGCTGTTTTCTTCTGCAGCTGATGGTTTTGTCTAAGATTTAAACGTGCAATCYTATGTTTACAATATAGAGATAGGAATCCTGCAACAGGAGCAATAACATTGATATATTTTTTGGCTGGCCAATACAATTTACCATCTTTCATCTGCCGGTAGTTTGGTTAGAGACACTAMGTGATGCTTCCTTTGGATTACTTTGGGCTATTGGCTACAACCCATTTGAACTTGGAGACTGCATGCCTCAAATTGCTTACATGCACTGATTTGTGAGAAAAGTTACAGAATATATTTTTTATTAAAAGTAATTATTTTGTGTACTTGTAGAGAACTGTTGTAATAGAAAGTAATCTGTTCACCTTCAAGCCTGCAGTTTGTTTTCAATTTATGGATGAGAATTAATCTAAATTCTTTATGACAGTTTTATGAGCCAGGAATTGGCCTCATAGCATTAAAAATTGAGGTGTGCTGCGTGATCTGTCAGAAATTCATATTGCAGCTTTACTTYTTTAGTTCTGGTTTAATTGTGTAATTCAACATTGGATGCATCACAGTGAGTGGTAACTGTCAAACTTTTGTTCACAACCATGCTTGGTATGTTTTGAGTTCAGCAAGTCCAAAGGAAAGAAAGGATACAGTCCTTATTACCATCACCCATCCTAGCTTTAGATCCAGGCTATGCACATCGTGCGTATAAAAGTGTACTTCTTTGTCCACAGGAATAATAGATGTGATGTGAAGGAATGTTTTCAAACCAGTTTTTGGTTGTGCTGTCATCAAAGTGAATTTGATTCAAAACATATCTTAGGTGTTCATAAYGCTCCAAAATTATATTCTGTCCTCATCCCACACTCAGTCCCACTACCTCTTGTATGATTAGTTCTAAAAGCAGTCAGGTACAGCTGTCTTTTGTATACCTCAATATGAGACAGGATTAATTTCACAAGCTCTTGCCAAGTAGATTGTTACATTTTTTGAACTGCCTCTTATCACAGTCTGATAGAAATAGTTCATATTTCTCATTATTTTAAATTAATTTATTTGAATTCTATTGCTCCRTAGATCCTGGAATTACTCGTGCTAGGCAGGAAGCAGAGGCTGTGKTGTTATTTTGAGGCCTAACAACGATCAGGAAAATCTTTCTTTCAGCCCCCTTTATCCGAATCTTCTATCATCTCTCTCCCAGTTATCCTTGACAGTTGTTTTCATGTGCCCATCTCTGTGTCTTTGGCATGGCTGAAAGCAGTCTCTTCTGTCATCTGATTTCTTCTCTTATTGTTATAATTACTGGTGCTTTTTTTTTTCTTTTTTTTTTTTTGCTCTCCCTTTTGCCTCTGTTGCATAGTTACATGCCATCATGCCAGTAGTATTTAATCGCAATTACCAGCTTAGTTCTTCTTTTGTATTCTTGAAATCCCATTTCTGAAAAACGTACCTAGATGGTTCAGTTGAAGTAGAGCTGGAACGTTTTTTGTTAGCAGTTTCTTTCAATAATCTAATTTCTTAAAGCAAGTAGCATTAAATTATTGAGCAAAGAGGAGAACTGAGCAGTTAAGCCAGCTGTTTAGCCATATGCATTAGGATTTTGTTTAATCTTTACCTATTTATTCATTTATTCCCTGGTTCAAAAAAGGAGCATTGCTGCTAACTCAGTTATTACTCTGTAATATATGTATGAGTTGAGGAAACTAAGTCTGTATCAGCTGAAAACTTAAAATCCTTGATTTCAACATAACAGTAAATTTTTAATACTTAGAGTTATATGTAAAGCTAGAAAATACAGCTTACATATACAAAGGCAAAAAGGAACAAAGAATTGAAGTTTGGGGGAGATTAGGATTTTGGTTTTTTTTCCTTTTTTTTTTGCAAATTTTGTGACTTCTGTAAGAATTATTATATTGGAGAAGTCCCYGACTAAATATGCTCCTTATTTATATGCAAATGTGATTTTCTTTATATCGGAATATACCATTTTGACTGTGAGGAAACTGTGCTTCTGTTGGGCTTGGGCTTAAAAATAAGATTTTTAATTTTAATTCTGCAACCTTTTTAAATGATGTATGCCTCTCCATCAAGTTGTTTTAAAAAAAGAAGAAAAAAAGGCAGCCACATTGATTCAAAATCAAGGAAATCAAAATTTAGGAAAGAAGAAACCTGAATTCTACCTGTAGTTGTCAGATTTACAGTGTTTTAATTTACAGATATTGGATAACAGATATTTATTAGGGGGGGAAGTATTTGAAATGATTGTGAAAAATGATATGTATATAAACCAGAACAGATTTATATGCTAAAAGATGCATCTGATGCTTTACTTATGTAAATACACACATGGATGTGGCCTGAACAGTCTTGCATCTTTCTGCTTGCTCRGATTTCTATGTTTCTAAGTGTGATTTGATTTTGTTTTCTTAATGGGAAGTTTTTTCAGTYTGTTTATTTGTTATGAGTCTCCATGTCTGTAAGCAAGAGATGGATGGTATAGAAGAAGCTACTAAGATAACCAGCAGCAAAGATAGAACTGCCTGCTTTCTCCTCCTAACTTTATTGGTGTTTCAAACTTTGACTTGGACGCCCTGTGCTTGTAGATAAGGAAGCGTGTTTGGATTTGACCAGTGTTCAGAGAGGAGAGGAGGAGCCACTYCGTGTTCGGTGGCTGTGACTCATGGAGATCCTCATTTAGTTGTCAAAAAGAATAAAGAAAGTGATTTCTGTTTAGTTTGCACTCAAAGATCATTGCACTCCTACCTTCCCTCCTTCATGTGGAGCAGGTGTGGTTTGTTTATCGTGAAGTGGAAGAAGAAAAAGGAGGGCTTACATGTATATGAAATAGCAGGTCCTGACAGCTGCCATCTTCTAAATTCGGTCACATTTATTGCATGATCTGTGTGAATTGACTGACTTTTAATGGTAAAGCTCCGTTTACAGCTAGAATTTATTATGCTATTTTCAACAATTGCTGCTAAATAATACCATTAGAAAACAGTACTTTCAAAGCACTTTACAGCTYCTTCCCTGAGGTGCTGGACAAGTATCTTAATTTACCCTGAATTCCAGACCAACATAAGAATAATTGTATTGTTTCCACCCTCCCTCTCACCCCAACCACCAAGAAATATTTCCCATGTCTTTGGATATTGATTAATCAACAGACGAGATTGATGGGGTGGTTTTAAAGCACCTTTTGTACCTTCTTAAATTTAGATACAGATGATCATAGTGGTGGTTGTTACTGTGGCCATCTAAGCTGTCGATGTGTGAGATTTTAGCCTTTTGTTAATATGAATTGAAATGTGTTAATTCACGTTAACAAAGTGACAGTGTGGGTGTGTGCCAGTGTCACGTTCTCAGGTAAAAGCTCTGTCCTGCAGAACGGCAGCTCTAGGCCAAGAAGAAGCTGCAGGAACGGCAGCTGTAGGCCAAGATGTGTTCCAGTAGCAAAACTTTATAGTAAATGTTGCCTTGACCAACATGAGTGGTACCGTTTGCTTGCATGTAATGTCTGTCTCTTGTCAGAGGCTGATGGCAGTAATGATCTTGCATGAAGTGGAAGGAAAATCACAGAATGGTTGAGATCAGAAGGGACCTCTGAAGATCATCTAGTCCAACTGCCCTGCCCAAGCAGGGGCACCTAGAGCATATTGCACAGGACCGTGTCCAGACATTTTCGAATATCTCCGGCGAAGGAGACTCCGCAACATCTCTGGGCAGCCTGTGCTCTGGCACCCTAACAGTCAATAAATATTTACTCATATTTGGTCAGAATGTCCTGTGTTTCAGTATGTGTCCATAACCTCTTACCCTGTCACTGGATTTGACTGAAAATAGTCTGTCCCCTTCCTCTTGCCACCCGCCCTTAAAGATATCTGTCCACACCAGTAAGATCCACTCTCAGGCCCAGATCTCTCAGGATCTCCTCTTAGGATAGATGCTGCAGTCCCCTAAGCATCTTTGTAGCCTGTGCTGGACTCTATGCAGTAGCTCCCTGTCTCTGCGGTGCAGGGGAGCCCAGAACTGGGCACACAACCCCAGATGTGGCCTCACTAGGGCTGAGCAGAGGGAGAAGATSACCCCCTTCAATCTGCTGACAACGTTCTTTCTAATGGAGGCCCAGGACCCTGTTGGCCTTATTGGCCACAAGAACACATTGAGCACATTGCTGGCTCCTCATGGTTGACCTGCTGCCCGCTAGGAACCCCAAGGCCTTCTCTGCAGAGCTGCTCTCCAGGATGAGCTGTAATCTGGGTTTTTATGAACAAAAAAATACTTGTTTATTTTTGTTGGTGATTTTTTTTTGTACTTTTTGGTCTTGAAAATGAAAATTTAAATCTTTTTTTTTTTTTTTTTTCTTCTGCATTGGTAAGAGAGGCAGATATTTGAGAGACAGATGCCTTTAGAATGTGATCAAGACAAAATTAGGAACTCTAATTTTCTATCACWCATCCTCAAGACCATTCTGTCTGGGATCTCTTCTGGTGGAAAGYCAGTGGAAATTCTTCCTGTGCCTTTTATCTGGCATAAATCCTCCAGGATCGTAGCAACATGTCATAATGAACATTTTTTTTCAGCTTCTCTCTTGCATCAAAAGAATGATAGCATCAGGATGGTCACTCATCTCAAAGCCTTTTCTCTCTGGGTCATAAGATTGTACTGCAATTCATTTGAAAAATAAAATAATTTAAAAACTGCATTTTTTTTTCTTTAGATCATGCACAGATAACAATCCTTGGGTGAAAATGGGGACTGTTATGCTACAGAAATGTCCACCTGAGGAAAAAGAACAAACAGGAAATGAAATTTTGAAAATCTGTCGTTCCTTATATGAGACAAAGCACATGCTACATGCTGAGGTAAGTTTTAATTTAAGTTGTCATGTGTTTGAGGCCTGTTTTGGGTCCAAAGATATTGACATAATGAATCCAATCCAATAAAAGTTGAGAGAATTGGTCTGGAGAGAAAATGGTTGTGAGAGGGCTCTTACTGCTGCCTTCCAATACTTGATACGAAAGGTATGGAGTAGAGCCAGCCTCTTCACAGAGGTTCACGGTGATAGAACGACAGGTTATAGAGACAAGTTACAACCTGAAAAATGCTGATTATTACATATTAGCAAAGTTTCTCACCATGAAAGTGGTGAAACACTGGAACATCATGWCCATCTCCATGCTTGGGAGATATTCCAAACAAACAGATGAGGCCATGGGCAGCTTGATACTGTTGGACCTGCCTGGAGTGGAGGTTGTTTTAGTTGGATGTTTCCTACAGGTCTATTCCAGCCTACATTTTTCTTTGAAGAAAGTTTCTAATAATTCATTATTAGTTGAAGTCAATGTGGCAAAAGTTATTAAATAAACAAAAATTTTTCCACTGATATATGTATAAAACTTACTAAGGTATCCTTAAAAAACTTGTTTGTCATGAAATTTATATGCAAGCATTGCTTCTTGGAAGGAAGTGTGGTATTCCGTCTTCATTAACCATGTATGTTCACTTGCATCCAAGTACCTCTTAAGCAGAAGATTAATGAAGTGTGTTATGTATAAACATTATATCCTCCTGAGAACAGATTTGAGAAATGCYTTATAAATTTCACACAACTTTAGAGTTGTCCTGTGCATATTTCTTACTGTGCTAATTCCTTGTCATTTTCATACAATTATAGAAAATAGTTGCTATTAAGACTTGAAGAATAGATGCAGCACATTCCATTTGAAATGTAGGCAGATGTGTCTGTCTGCAGTGGGGGGGGGGGATTCTTGTTTCTTATTTTTCTTCTTTTTTGTTTTCTTTTTCTGATTTTGCTCATGTTAAGTTTATGTAAAACATAATTCCAGAAGGTGCCAGTAAACTCACTGATAAATTCAGTTTTTGGTGGACGGTAAGTTTCTGTGTCYTTGGGTTTGTCATAATAGAATGGAGTGTTTCTTTAGCAGCCATTCACTTATTCATCATAACTCMTAAAGCCGTCTAGATTTTACCAGCACATGGAAGTAGCCAAACTCTGACAAAGAGTTGAGTTTTCAARTTCACCAAATTGGAGCTGGGAAAGCAAATCTCAATTTATGATCATATTTTTAAAGCAGTCGGTTTCCCAGTTCTGTGAGTTCTACGTAGGAATGAGATGTGCTCTTTTTATTTTTTTTTCCTCGAATTGTACAACAAGTAAATCAAGGAATTAATAATAAGTAATTCCAAAAATTACAATTTTGCTATTAGTTGGCTGTTATATATGGATGTGCCATCTTTTTTCGATGAACAGCATGCTTGAAGACCACCTCATGGGATGTGAATATTCATATACAGTACAGAGATACATTATGACTGAAATGTACTCTAGTCTCCAATAGCTTGACCAATGTAAAATTCATTTTTTTATGACTAGAATGCCATGCAGTAACAGGAACTACATAAAATGTTTAATTGTGCAGCTAAAACAGCTCAGTCTGCATATCTGCTACGCGTGTGTGRGAATGATGTTCATGAATTTAGCTGATTTGTATGCACCCCTGCAATACTTAAGTGCACAAATTAGAGAGTTGAGATTACGTGGCACAGTTACATGAAAATCTGATTACTGACAATTACCACATTTAGATGACTTCACATTTCAGTAAATACACTGATTGAGAAGAGATCAATTTATGACAGTGAATAACATTTGCCATTCTGAAGTCGAAAGCCTGTAATGGAAAAAAAAAAAAATTAACTTCAAGGCACGATCGTCTAAAAGGTAGAAGAACTATTGCAGATCTAAACAGATTCAGAAAAATGTCTTCCTTTGTTCCTCTCAGTGCTGGATTTCCTTGAGATTTTGTTTGCTTTTACAACCAGGCTTCTTCTGAGGAGTCAYGTGGCTTTGGAACCTGTTCTGTTTTTTCTTGATGATTTTTTTCGTTGTTTTGTTTATTTGTTTTATTTTCTTTTTTTGGAGAGAGGGATAAATATTGTTCAGAAGACAGATTTTTTTCCCATTGATAATTTTTATGGATTTTTTTCCATTTTCTCTTGGATAAAATAGCATTCTTTTACTTGCTTGGAATGCACATGTTTGGACTACCTGACCTCTGTTTCATTGCCTGATCAGTCCCTTCAGAAAGTGKCAAATCCCTGTCCCTTCAGCAGGTATTGAAGTGCGACTCCTCTGAATACCTGTATCAACTGATGGTCATAATGCCAATTGCCATAAACTTAGATGATCAAATGCATCTGTCTGTAATTACTTTGAGGTGCTAGTAGCCTTAAGATGATTGTCGCCTAGAACACAATAGCAAACATGTAATCTCTTTTTTATTATTATTATTTTTGTAGCTTATTATTATTGATTTTTATGTTTCTTTACATTAATTTGTATGCAGTTTTATAAGTTTAGATTATATGTTTCTCTTGTWCAGATAATTTTAAACATAAATATGGTCCTTTCAGCCTCTGCCAGCATGATCCTGTTGTGTATAAATGTACAAGTATACTCAATATCCATGAAAATACTGAATAGTGCTAGACCAGGAGGAGACTTAGGTGAAATCCTGTTACTTTTAGAAAGACTTACTGTTTCTGATAGCATTACAGTTTGCTTACTTTCATTTTTATTTTCTCCCACAACTTCAGTATGATATTGGGCTCTTTTTGAGAGCCTCTTTATGGCTATGGGTTATTTCTAAGAGCACTTATGATTTTAATAGGCTTTCAGACAGAGAAAGCTACCAACAGCCATAAAATTGCTATTTCCTTCAGGTTTTGTGTCTTATGACCATCAGAATTCATTCTTCTGAACAGATGCTGTATTTATTACCATGGATATGCCTTAAAAATAAAGATAAAATAAGGCAGGCTTACAGAATCCTACATCTCTGCCTTTGCATTCCCTGAGTTTCTTTGCGTAGCATACCGCTCAAGAGAAATACCATGGAATATTCAGTTATCAAAGCGAGTGTACAACTCGCCAGAMAAAGCTTAACATTTTTATTTAATCTTCTTATTCCTTGGTCCTATCTCTGGTCCTTTACTGAAGGCATCAACAGTAGCTACTGGAAGCAGCACAGGATACGAGTTTACAGGAATAACTCTGGGAGCAGCTTCAGCAGCTCAGTGAGACAGAGCTCAGTATAATATAATTTATCCTAGTGTTTCTTTAGAATATAAATCTGGAAAACACTGGGAACATACAGCTARGTAGCTTCCTGAACCAGGCAAAGACGGTTCTCCGTGCAGCACCATACCATACAGTCTAAGCGTTTAACATTGTTATTTTCAAATAATTTTTAGATTTTCAGGATCATAACAACTAAAATTTCTATGCTAAGCAGTGTAGTTATGTTTTTGTCATCAGGTCACTATACTTTTCCTTGAACATCAAACAGTATTTAAAAACCACTTGTGTTCTATYGTATCCTTGGACAAGTGCAGTCTCTCAGAAGACACTTTAGAGAGACCGCTGAGATTTGGATACCATTTTCCAGGTGTCAGCATTATACAACTCTCCTTGAGAAAGGATTGTGGCCAGCGAACAAAATCCTTGCAAATGGGGGAAAAAGATAAAAAGAGAGAGGAAAGGAGAGTTATAATTTGTTACCCTAAATAGTTTTTGGTGTATAGATGAATAATTCATTGCAATGCTAAGAAAAAGCAGAATGCAGGTTAAATGTAGGAGATTATTTTACTGAAGGTCAAGGTAAAAGTTTAGAAACAGTATTTTTTGAAAAACTTTTATTTTGCCATTTTTTTTGTATCAGATTTATGATACTAAATAATTTGTGATATTTGATATAAAAAATTGTGTGAATGTGGGAAAGGTAATATGCTAAAATTTGATCGGGTATGGAACATTTGAAAAACTTTTGAACAGAGCTTTATAATGTTGAACTCTCTGGTAAAAGGCAATATTTTATTTTNTATTTTATTTTATTTTATTTTATTTTATTTTATTTTATTTTATTTTATTTTATTTTATTTTATTTTATTTTATTTTATTTTATTTTATTTTATTTCCCCTGTTGTGATTGTGTTTGAGTTACTGAAATATCACAGGTGTCTGTGAAATTTCTTCCTGTGCCTTGCAGTATATCAGTGAGCACAAATATTTTAGTGCCACACAATGTTGTGATTGCTCTGTTGTTCTTTTCATAAAAATCTGGGGCTCTAATGGTGATTCAGGACCTGCCTTGTCTCTGATATAAGAAGCATTTCACTTATAACCCTATATTCCCAGCTTGAAAACTTGTATTTTCAGTAATTTCAAGTTCCCAGAGAGAGAGATTTCCATCAGGGAATTCATTTGTTTTAGATGTTTGGCTTTCATTTTGCATTTCACACATAATTTTCATAAATTTCCGTATGAATGATGATGTTTGCATCTCCTGAGATCTCACTGAATGAGTTTGCTTTTACTTGCAGTGTATAAAAGAATTATGTTTGCTGCTGCTTAACCAGTCCCTTCTGCTGCCATCCCTGAAACTGCTGGTCGAAAGCAAAGATGAAGATCTTCATGCTGTGGCACTGGAGCAGATAAAGGCTGTAGCTAAGGTATGAGCAGTTGAATTAACCATCTTTCAGAATTTGAAGTAATAAATTCACTTCTTTATTATGATACAGTAAGCAGGTACTGTTGGGCCCGTTATCATTATTAAGATTTTCCACAGCTGTGAGTCCACAGTGAGCAGTAACACAAGCCAGTAAGATCTTTTATGTTCTTGAGGTGATTAAAGCTCCTAGTATTTTCTTTAAATTATCCACTACTCTATTGAAGGTCAATGTGCTGGAACAGAAATTACTGTGTTATATTAAGTAGATTGTTATCTCTTGTAGGGCCTTGTAGGGTTTTGTTGGGCTTTTTTGTTTGCTTTTTACTTTGTGGGTGATAATAGTACCTCAAATGAGATAACTTGTTTCTGATAGACTTGGCACTTTGTTCATGTACATGTGATGCGATGCATCATTGTTCTTATTATAGAATGGTTAAAATGTAAGATAATACGTTTGGGCACTTTTATCCTTCTCCAAACAGGTTTTATTGGATACCATTGCAAAATTTCTAGAGGAAAAAAGTAAATACTCCCTCTGGTTTCTTTGGAAAGAAAGTGAAAGACATTACTGTATGCTTTTCAACAGTTAAAAAGCTATACTACTAATTTTTGCCAGTATAATTACTTTTCATTTAAGTAATAATACCTAAAATGATGAAACATAGTCTGCTAGGAAAAGCATTCTTCATATTGTCTTTTAGTTTTTTTTTTTTCCTTTTTGTATTGTTTCATATGTCTTAGAGAACTGAGGTGGATGTAAAATTGTACGTTATTGTATGTTATACAGTATATTTAATCATGCCCCCTGAAAAGCCTCATCTCTATCAACTCCATGTTCTACACTGTCTCTTCGAGAGCTCTTGATTGCAGATGACAATATAGAGCAGTAATTAAAGGTGTATTTCCAGTATGCTACGTCGGAAGTGAAATCTGCTTTGAGCTGGAAAATACTATTAAAGGACATCAGGTGTCTGAAACGTTTTTAAAATAATTATTCCTAAACAAAATACAAAATCTTTTAAAATGTGATCTGTCGGAATACAGCTTGAGAAAGTTATCCTTTTGTGAAAGGTCCATCCAAGTCAGCCTCCCATTGTAGCTATGTTCATTCCAACAAGTTTTTCAAATTCCTGAGTTGCAACAAATGTGATGCAATCCCATTCCCTACTTTCACACCATCCCTTCTTCTGGAAGAGATYCTTGTCATCCTGCTCTTCTTGGCCTTCTCCTGAAAAGCCCATCCTCACTCCCTTCCTCCTCGTTTGTTCCACCTTTTTCACTGTGCTGCACCGTGTATTCCAGGAGGTTTTTCCTTTTGTTCATGCTCAGCTTCAGAAGGGAAGTTTTACCTCCTTCCCCTTCTTCAGGAGGGCTCAGAGCATGGAGCACTAAAGGGTAGCCACAGAAGCAGGAAATATGGAAAAAATGGATTCTATTTCGTACGTTGCTACTTTTCCTTCAGAACCACCTAGTGCTTCCTGTAGCAGATAAACCACAGTCTGCTTGAACTTGTTTTGGTGGATGTTTAAAAYGGTTGTACAGAATTTTGTCTGTTATACATCTGCTTGCATCAAAATTCCCATACCAAAGTTAACACCTGGTATCAGTTTGGAGTATTTTCTTGCTGAGTTTGCTTTAAGCAAAGAACTAGAGGTTTTATGAAGATGTTTCTGTTTCATTTTTTAAAGTAAATAGAATGCAAATTATCTGAATTTTCTCAAAAATTAAACCCTATAAATATTAACCATCAAAACAACAGATTCTCTTCATTGTTTTGGTACATTTCTAATAACATCCACAGTCAGAGATTTTGCATTTGCAAAGTAAATTATTTATAACTGTTTATGTAAATAAGGTGATCATACAAAAAAGGAATTGAGGATTTGACGTATGCCTGCACTTTCACATCTGTTTGCTCTTGTTAACCTTTTCCAGTGGACTTTGGTGGCAGGTGAAAGCTTTCCTGTGAGTGACTAGCTCTTAAACTGGCTAACAGGAATTATGTCTGAATATATTTTATTAAACTATTTTTTTTAGTACAGTGCCATACAATAGTGTTCTCTGAATGGCTGCTAATTGTGCTGCTCTCTCAACTGACCTTTTCAATTGCTGCATTCCTGCTTGATTGCATTATAATAAAGCTTTTAGGTTTAGGAAGCATATTATCTTCCTACTAATATAAAGCACTTAGTATACCTGTGTATTCTGGGAATAATTTTATTTTTGTCCTTCTAATGCAGGAAGCACCTTGGTAAACTACTCTGTATATTTTTTTTCCAAATATTAATTGGTGCATACAAATTTGTGCATACAATTTGTTCTGTAGCAATGTGCATAGTCTGGAATTGTCACACCATTTGGCCTTGCTCGTAGCTCTTTCCTCGTAGCTCAATGAAAATTTAAATACTGACTCGGTTACGTCAGGCACGGAGCTTACCCAGTACATGAGATTCATTGCCAGTCTTAGAAAATCAACGAGCATAGAAGAATGCCGTGATAAAAGCTTTTCTTGTGTTGTTTAGAAAAGAGGCCTTCTCCTTGTTCTGTATGCGTCTCTTATGCTTGTGTTAGTTGGTATTTTCCTAAAAGTGATGCTTAGCTCTCTCCATGTTGGTTATTAGGTATAATTTTGTATGTACTTCATGCTTACCAAAAAGGCAGCAATAGGAGTGTTAGCACTTTTTTTTTTTTTTTTGTAGATTATTTCTTTTTCCCCATAGGAAACCCATTCCTGTTTACATTAACCAGGAAAAGGACAAATAACATGCGGCAGAGTGAAATCACAGCTATTGATTCCCTGAGAGGGCGCTGGCGCGGACACGTGGCCGGCAGGGAAATGCGGCGCTGGCGGATGCGGTGGCTGCGTCGCGAGCCGTTTGTTGCGCTGCTGACAGCTTTATGGGTGCTCACAGTTACAGGGATGATGTGGAAGTGCTGAGACGAGGAATTGTACAGCTTTTGCCTATCATAAAACAGCCAGAATTTTGTGTAAGCTTTTTTGAAATTGCAGACCTTTCTTTTTATCGTCTATCCTTTTGAAAACCGCAGATTGCCATTTTTGGATGACAAAAATAGCTAGGCCATTCTGATATTAAGTATATARTAGGTGTTTTGTTTGGTTAACAGTAGATCACTTTATTTTAAGTAGCTTATTATTATCAATAGAGTCAGTCTTTTAAGAGACATTGTTCTAGGGAAGGGTTTTAGGGTTGTCTGTTTGCTTGACATTGGGAACATCAGGAAGGAGTTTTTGTACTTTAGAACAAATAAATATTCTCTTACCTGTTGATAAGGAAGTGGTTAAGACAGCTTGCTTACAAATGAAAGTCACTATAATCAGAGCAGATTGAAGCCTTCAACCAAGGCTTTAATGTAAAGTAGAACTAGAGAATACTTTAAAATATTAACTTTTCCCAGTTATACTTTCAATGTTGAAGTAATCRGACTATCTAATATCATTGCTGAAGAATACAAAAAGTTATGAAGAATGCATGAAAATAATGGAATTCCGAGTCTTATCCAGACAGTTTGGCACTTTGGTCTGCTATTTACAGCAGTTTGTGTGTCTTCTCTTAAAATATATATACATATATATATATTATATATATATATCTTGTAAAATGTATGTGTATGTAACCTTACAGTGATTAAGTATCTCTTCCCCAGTTGGTAGAATCTAACTCTTTTTCTGTCCTCTTATTTTATTTGTCCTTTAGCTGTCCAGACTCCATTCAGGAAATAATGAAAACCATTTTTACCTCTGCTAGTGGTGTAGAACTAATAGCCTAGGAAAGTGCGAGCTCGGTTCTTTTCTGCTATTGCCATCAGCAGCGCTTATCTTTCCATTAGTATCCATATTTCATAACGCACAGATTTCATAATGCATAACTTAGAGTCACAGAGCAGGAAGAAATCCTATCTTTAGATAATGCCAGAACTGCTAGACACCTGGGCAAAAAGTGCTGATGTTGAATTACCCGGGCCTTGTATTATCCCTTACTCCATAAGGGAAAAGGAAGCTTCTAACCTGCCTTCGCTTGTGCAGAATTCTCCCAATAGGAGGGATGGTTTTGGATCACCTGCAACCTCTCGAGTGTGTTAGGCCATGTTAACAATCAGTAAAAATACTGGGTACTGATATAAGATGTGGTATTAGCCCTATAGGTGTTGATTGTTGTTGTTTGTTATTTCCTGGGAAATAGATGCACACAGTYCTTGCCTTCATGGTCACGTTACATTTTGGAGGTCCCATCAGTTAAACGGTAAAGCTTCCTAGATGCCTACAGGTCCATTTTGGAGTACATTAGAAGAGCTGCCCTCTTGGGCRGGACTCACCTTTACTCACCTGTTCTGCATCTAAGCTTCTTTTTAATGATCTTTCAGACTCATGGCCTCTGCTTRCTTGGAGGAGCTGCTCCTTTGGCAGACCTGAATATCTCAGGTCTAAACCCRTTTACAGGTTCATAAAATCCATGTGCTGCTGACAGAGCCCCAGGCAAGCATCCTTAAACCTCAGTAATTGTATAGGGTTTCCTGTTCAACATATGCAGAGAGGATTTAAGGCTCACGGAGACAGCATGTGTGGGAATCTCTGCTTCTCTGTCTGCTGAAGGGAACCTTGGCAGGATGTGGTTTTTCACCTCTAGCTGCAGAACCATTTATAAAGTTTGCACTGAAGAGACATTTGATAAAATGCACAAACCCTGTTGAAGCTTAGTGTTGTGGCTCTGCTTCAGCAAAAGTGGTGGCAGCACCTGTTGCAATTCTGCTTTAATGCTGCGTCTCTCACCTTCCAGATGCATATGCACGTGTTTACCATGAAAAGGTATCAGTTGTCAGAATCTAAATTTAAAGAGTTAGTCATCAGAGGGACCATATGAATGCCCACGTTTTGAATGAATTCAACAGTAAATTTCAGCTACTACCTAAAAAGTTACATAAGTTAAAGAAAAAAAAAAAAAAAAAAAGGCAAGATTAGCTCTTCTTAGCATAAGTATCTCC